TTGCTTGTATTTTGCAAGCGCTCTACCATCTGAGCTAATGTGAGACCTGGTTAGAAGTACGTATTCTTTAATTTAGCTTTACTTGGTTGATAGTAAACTGAATGTACGGCTCCCCGGTGATAATTTACGTGCTGGGGTATTTTTTTACTTTTTGGAAAGTTGGGATATTTTTTTATATATGGCAAAAGTTGGGGCATTTTTTTTATTCTCCCTAAAATAAAACTCTCGGCAATTCCTAACCTTTAGCTACGCTTTGCTCTTGTTTTTTTGTACGGTTATGAGTACCACTTACACCTTTTTTGGCAGCCTGACACAACAACAACAAAAAACAACGCAGATGTATTGTCGTGCATTACTGATCAAATCTATCTACTTGTACCTAGATGAAGCTAGTTATATTATGTATAGGTTTTGTCAGTCATATCAATATGGCCATCTTCGACACGTTTTGTAGGGCTTGCAGTCTACAAGTTCTACGGACCTCTCTTTACTAGAATACCACCACTTTGATATCATATCAAGTACATTTTTATCATGGCACTTCACCACGGCACTTAGATCCAGTACTTTGAACTTCGGTCTAAGCTGACAGGACAAGAGCTCAGCTTGTATCTTGAAGATAGACATAACAGCTACCAAATAATCCACGGTTCCTATCGTGACTCAAGCAGTGGAGCTTAAACTCTTAAATATTCTTTTAGCATTTTTGCGCGATTGCTCATCCCGATACTTCGTAATGTTGGCAAAAATTTATAAGAAGAGCCCATCACTACACACCTTATTCGAGCCTGTCCACGAAACAACACGAGATAAGGAATACTCGTATACCTTGGGTTATCGCTTAAAAATTCGTTGCTCAAAACATCAAAACTGAAAATTTGTCTCCTCTCACAAGTGAAGACAAGTAAATGAGGTGATAGGAGGAAGGAATGATAAAGACTCTACTCGTTTTGAGAGGATTGAGCCCCGTCATCATGCAAAAAGAAGCAGATCAAATCTGGATTGTGTCTGAGCTCTAAGGTAATACACGGCATGTAGGCATTTGTGTAATTTATTGAAGGCAATAGTGACCAATTGGGGACACTACCATATCCAATCGTCCGACTCTTCCTTCACGAGACGTATGTGAATATGCTGCTTGTCCCGGCAGGACTATGACGTCGTCTTTCGCGATTGCTAACCAGTTTGACTTCTCTGTCGAAGATGCGACACCTTCCCAATTGCTGATGTCAGGAGAACGACACACCGCGCCACAGCTAATTCGAGGCTGGATTGATGTAACTGTGTACATTCATCAGTACCATTTATTGAGATAATCAAGACGATGGAACTCTGTAAGAAGGCATTCGTGGCAGAAGCCAACTTCATTAGAAGTCATGAATTTGCTTCTGGTAGAGGCGAATGAATCTAACCTCTTTGCGCTGTTAATGCAGACTTTTAAAGTCAAAGCATCCTTGATGCAAAGTGCATGGCAATCCTGTTGCACAATAGCTCCTTGATCTCTGTGGGATAAGAGATTCCCGTGAATGCTCGACACGCACATTTTT